CGTATATTTACAAGAGTTTTAATTCGTTAGCGGATTGGCTGGTTCATAGGATAGTAAGATTTCAGTCATCTCGTGAACGAATATTCCATGGTTATTAATTTTTAGTGAGAAATACCAGAGTAGTCATACATAGATATTTGCAGTCATATGTAGTTACATTTAGTAAAATATAGACTTGTATTACACTGTGGTCATTTGTAATCGACTTTAATTAATTCGTCTCTAGTTCTTCAACTCAATTGATATGTTGTTTCAATTGGCTAGATTTTTTAATCAGTTTCGTGTTTGATCGAGTTCTTTATTAGTGTGTGTGTGTGTGTGTGTGTGTGTGTGTGTGTGTGTGTGTGTGTGTGTGTGTGTGTGTGTGTGTGTGTGCATTTTTTAGTTTATTGCATAATATCCTAATTTGGAAATTTTGCCTGCTATTTGAATGACATGCCTGCCGTAATTAAATGACATTTTGTATGCTTGGCGAATCTTTTAGGTTCAAATTTTATGACTTACATCTTGAAATTTATGAATTCTGATTTTTACTATAGTAAAATGTAGTCATGTATGAGTTATGTGAGGAGTATATGCTAGTGATGTGTATGTATCTCAGTAGGGTGATAGTGTGTGTGTGTGTTTGTGTGTGCCGATTCAAATTTGAAGCAAAATTCGTTGTTTGCTTAACTCTTTTTCTTTTTCACAGGTCTTTGTGTTTGAACTACTACAAGTTTTTGCCTAGTGGACTTTGTGTTCGTCGTTCAAAACAAGCGATTCTGGTGTTGAAAAGTGGGATTTGAGTCAACTTTAGTCGTATATATATAACTATAGATAACTACAGTGACAAGTCTTGGTGTTCGAACAACTTATATGCACTAAGTTTTTGTCGAGAGGACATGGTGTTCGTCAAGTCAATACATTTTATTGCAACCGATAAATCGGAGTTGTTGTCGTGTTGAAAAGTGAGATTTGAAGCTATAAATACAGACTACACTATATATGATTATACTCATATAATCACGTGTTGTCATATATAGTCACGTGTAGTAACATATAGTAATATATAGTTATATATAAGCTATGTGATTACTCTAATGTATAGTCATATATAGTACAATAAATTGTGAAATTTCATTGTTGATCTATAATATCAAGATACAAATTTGTGAATTTTGGGGTAAAGAACCACTACTTGACTATGTTTATACATGACTATATAACTTGTAGTATACTATAGTCATGTATAGTCATTTCAGTACAGTAAATTTTGTCCATACACACACACACACACACACACACATATATATATATATATATATATATATATAATAAAACAAATTAGAACAAATCAAAAGTTAAAAAAAGCTATTTTATAAAAAATACAATAATAATTCAACAACAGAAAAATATAACAAAAATAATTTTATTAAAATTAAAAATCAGCAAAATGATAAATGCAGGTCGAAAAATATAAAGTGCAGTTGGTGGACTTAATGCAGTTGGACGAAAATTTCACATAAGGGCACAATAGTACTTCTGCCTCTCCAGGGGTATCTCTAAGAAAGAATTTTAGGGGTGGGCATATCCTTATATATTTTCCATAGTAAAGGTGTATATCAAATGACCCCTTGATTATATATAGAGAAATATTACAAGGTAATAGATCACTATACTAAGTAATTGAATCATAACTAATCTCGGTAACATAATCATACTAATCTAAGTAAAATAATTATAGTAGAATCCTAATATTACAAGAGTTCTATAATATAATATATATACTCTAACACACCCCCGCAGTCGAAATGTAAAGAACGTGAAAACTGGACGATCACTTGCTAACACATTCTTATACAAAAGCTCTTTTATAAACTTTTGTGTGTGTAAATCTATATCTATATCTATACTAGGAGAGTTTCTTCCATTTTATGTAGGTACTAAAATGCCCCTATCAAAAGATTTTTGAAAGGCAAAATTTGAAGGGTAACTAAGTTATGTAATTTACAATTACTAAGTGATTTAATAATATTGCCTCTTCTTTGGAAGAAAAAAAAACCTAAACTTGGCGGTGGCAAATGTATGTTAAGAGAGAAATATAAAAACAATTATGTTGTAAATAATATGGAAAAGTGGGTCTTCCTATCCTAACACATGAGAGGTTGTAACCTCCATATTCCACTATAAATTCTCAACTTCCCACTACCCCATTATCCCCACACATTGTAGTGGTTGTAACTCCTATGTAACTTCTTTGTAACTTTCGGTGGATTACACCTATATAAATGAGAATCTCCCCTCCCCTAAATACACACAATTATCTCTCTATGGATTGTTGTTCCTTGTATTCTCTCTTTCTTTTATTATTGTTATTTACATTCTTATGAATTTCCACAAACACAAACCAAAGAGCTAGATAAATAGGCCATTTTACAACACGTTATCAGCACGAAGTGCTCGTTGTTATTGTGGAAAGACAATTGTTTATGGGGCGAGGATACTTGAAGAATTCGACGTGCTCGTGGAAAGGTAATTGTTCGTGGGACAAGGTTACTTCCAGAACTTGTGACCCAGGTTTATATGTGAAACGGTAATCTCGAAAAAAATATATTATATTCTTCGTAATATTTGGATTTAAGTGTTTCAAATAAACTTTAATCTCCTTGAAATTTTGATTTCGTAAGAGATGCATGATAGATCTATTTAATGGCATGAAATATATGAATAAACTTTATGTTCAAGTCATTACTTCATTTATGCCGTGGATGATTTGAAAACATGAACTGGTTTGTAGTCCTTATTTTGTGAATAGTATGATTAAAATGCCTTCATATTTCATATAATAATTGCTCTGAGCATGTGAAATGATTTCTTGTTATCGGGCAAGAGTATTGGATGTTCAAGTATGAAATATTGTCATGAATTTTGCCGTCTCACTCATGCTATATGATTCTATGTATTTTGCTATATGTGATGATTCAATGTTTGAGATTCAAAGTGATGAAATCTGGTATATATTCTTTGTCTCATGCTCTTAACGTATTATCACTTGTGCGCGATGTGATTGTATGAATTTTACATTATGGATATGTTTAGGTAA